GCTCGGCGTGGTCGGGGTCTGGCCCACCCGGCGCACCGTGGCCATGCCCGTGACGCTGTTCTGCTGAGTCCGTGTGGTCCATACGCCCTGCAACTGCCCCAGGGATGACTGACTGTCATTGAGGGAGTCAGCCGTGCCAGGCGCGGCTCGGCGTGGTCGGGGTCTGGCCCACCCGGCGCACCGTGGCCATGCCCGTGACGCTGTTCTGCTGAGTCCGTGTGGTCCATACGCCCTGCAACTGCCCCAGGGATGACTGACTGTCATTGAGGGAGTCAGCCGTGCCAGGCGCGTTGGCCCCAGCCGATTGTCCTGCAAGTCCACCATGGACAAACTCTTGCTGCCATTAGACATCTGCACGTCGGGCTCATTGGCCTCTGAGTAACTGGAGCTTCGGGCAGGCGAGGGCTGGGCCCCAGCAGACCTTGTGACAAAAAACAAGTCCTTGTTTTCAGGGGTTGGAGATGGTAACCGTGTGAAATCTATCAGACTGCGGGGAGGTCAGTGCGTAAGGAAGAGGAAAGGAAAACAAAACAAAAAAGAAGAGTTGTGAATGCTGCACCGGAGCAGGAAAAACCGAAATCACTCAGAAGAAATCAGCGTGGCACAGCTGTGTGGGACAGGGCCATAACCCAGCCCCTGCGGCGCAGGTACAGTGCAGGGGGAGCAGGGGGACGGGGGAGCCCTGGGCAGCCCCGCGGGAGCAGGCAGGAGCAGGCAGGAGCAGGCAGGGGAGCCAGGGGTGTGTGTATGCGTGGGGAGCGCTGTGCTGTGCAGGATGCGTCCCCAGCTCTGCCTCCCCGGCTGGACCTGCTCATCACCATGTGTCAGTCACCCCTTCTGCTTCCAACCGGCTGTATCCGCGCTGCTCTCGTGTGCCCTGCTCTGTACCCGTGCAGCCAGCTCCTGAGGGCACGCTGGCCAAATCATAGAGCATGGAACACCGTGGAAGCCTGATCCAGACCAGGCCTCCAAGGATCAGACAGAGAGCTCTAGCAGCAGAGCTACAGCCCAGCAACTGAGGTTATCCACCCAGACCTCCTGCTGCAACATACATTCATGCAATATTGATTTTCTTGGGGATAGGAAAAAAGAGCTTTGCAGTAGCTTAATGTGAATGTACACTGATCAAAGATGGTGCACTGTAAGCAAGTATTTGGGTGAAAGCATATTGTCAGAGATCCTCCATAGCATTAGATTTAAATAATTGCACCTCACGCTGGGAAGCATTAGAGATGAAAGCTCTGATTAGAGCCAGTCCAGTGCCATTGCTGTCTTTCACTGCTAATTAAACTGTTAAATATTATGTAGTTTCCACTTACAAACTATTTTACTAGCTCAGTCTTTCAATTTGTGTGGGCTCCATTTCATTTTCCACAAACAGAAACATTACAGGTTTGCAACAGTCATCCTCCCCACGAATGAAACTCCCTACATAATGAGCCCAGAACGTATGTTAGGTGACTGTGTCTGTGAATCACTGCTCAACATTAAAGACACCCAGCAGTATGAAAACTAGACAGAGTAGACTGGAGTGTCTCTGTCAGGCCTCTACAGCTCGGTAACTGTTAAAGAAATGACCAGGTATGGATCTCAGTGAATTCAGCACACACCCGATGTCTTACAAAGATGGGTAAGGCCAATCCTATAGATCCTGCATGCCCAGTGACCCAGTGAACTTAATGGCAACACCCATCACTTTGAGGTTAGTGCACACAAGCCCTCAGGTCCTCAAAGGATGAACATTTTGCTTCTGCAGCCACAGCTGAGACCGGAACCACCAAGTTCTTACTTCCCAGACCACATCCCAGCTCTGGCTCTCAAGGGACCCAGCATGGAGCCATGTCCTTGCACTCCTGCCCACTGCTCTGTCTAGATTCAGAGCTGAACTACAGCCAGTACCAATCCTAGACAATGGATCAGACACCTCCACACTACACCCTGCCCTGCCTGTCCCTGCAGGTGCTCAGGCTTTGGCAGTGGATGAATATTCAGCATTTCCCTGGTCTGTGGCCAGGCCCTTCATGCTCTTACCCAGATAAGTCATTCTCTATCACCATTTTCTGGAGCCCCGCAGAGATGCTGTTGCCAGCACTGGGTGTGGACACGGTGTGATCGGCCGTGACCGAGACCTGCACGCAGGCCGGGTTACTGAGCGCCGAGTTGACATCCCTCAGGATCCGAGGCAGAGGCCCAAGCTTCGTTGCAGTGCCCTGGGCAAAAAGAGAGCAGAATCACTACCAACATCTTGTGTTTTTGCTGAAGAACTGTGGTCTTTGCTGGACAGTCTCTTCAGTGAATCACATTTAATATTCAATATTCATTTTCTCCACCATTTACCCCCACTGCTGAGGCTATGGGATGTCCCGGAACATGTGGCTATAGAAGCCAAAACCTGCCCCTGTGATCCCCCTGGATACCTGCTCCAGTTGAGAAATGACTTCCCAGAGTAGCGAGTGCAAAGTGGACAGTTCCCGGCCAAGGTCAATGTAGCCTTCAAAGCCAGCGGTGTTTGAGATGGTTTCGGGATTGGAAATCTCCAGGAGAAATCTCTGCATGTTAGTCCATTCGTGTTCCAGGAACTGATTCATAAAGGACATGTATTCCTCTTTGCTGCCAAACCTATCGAGACAGCAACAGGGATTTCAGTTAAATCCTGTAAACAGAGGTACAGTCATCAGAATGGGTAGGTACATACACAGGTGAGGATGCCAGAACCTCTGCAGAATACTCTGCCATGTGAACCCTTCAGAGCCTTTGGGATCCCTGGGTTGCTAAGCAGGCACCTGGTACACCTCACTGATCATGGAACCAAAATTAACTCCAGCCTAACCCAGATACGTCCTCGTCAGCATAGGATCTCCACAGCAGAAATAAAGGTGAAGGCAAGAGAAACAAAGCTGTTGTTGGTAATGGTGTGTATCTTACTGCTGGGTCAGGGCACAGCCTCCAGAAATAAGACCTGTCACTGGAAATAAATCATAATACCAAGCACCATCAACTGACTGAAGCCCATGATGGTGGTAGAAATCCTGCACTCCCCCTGCTCTTCCACAAGCACTGGAGCTAATCCCAGCACAATGGCTCTAGGATCATCCTGGAGAGCTGTACCCGCAGCTGGGCCAGCCCATGTGTCCCCTCTGGCTTCCTGCAGCCTCCTCTGCCCCCCGAGCACTCCCCCAGCCCTCACTCTTGGTTAGATGTCTTATTTAGAGCACAACAGGGAGGGGCTCGTGGTTCAACTGTACCAGCAGCAGTTGGTGCTGTGCCAGTGCCAGCGATCCCTGGGCTCGGCTGAGTGCCAGCTGCAGCACAGCTCAGCTCCATCACTTTGGACTGACTAATGTCAGCTTAGTTAAAAGAGTCTTTCCTGCAAAGTGCTGAGAATCTGAAAACCCTTTAGTTAGGGATTGGTCAGGAATGCAGAGAATTGCTGTCATTAAGTGTAACACACTTGTACATCTTCCATCTGCGTCTGCATGTCTGCACGCTCCTGACTGCGAGCGTGTGTACTAAGCTGGATTCCAAATCTAAGCAGCTTTAGACAGAAACTGTCCATTCATGTTTCAGAAAGCTCATCATTTTGTTATCGGAGCTCAGGGTAAGTAGCTCAGAGCTGCAGGCAGCGGGAAGATTTTCAGAAATCTCTCGCTTTGTTTCCACCAAACCAATGGGTTTAGTTAGAAACTGATAGTATCCCCTTCTCCTTTCACACCCTCCCAGTTCACACAACTGCATCTGAATAGCAGGGAGAGCCCTAGAGCTCTCAGGGGGGAAAGAGAAGCTCTGTTGGGGTTCTGGTCTTGCTGGTGCCTCCGAGAGGCCAGCCATGCCATGCCACGCCGGGACAACATGCCTGGCTGTGCCAGGGCATCCCTGCTGCCACCCCGCCAGCTCCTCTGTGTGCTCAGAACAGCTTGTTTTCCTGCTCTTAAAACACGTCCTGTTTTGGAAACTTCATGATCTCCCTGACCTGACAGTGAGGGAATGAGTCCCAGAGAGACGTGGGGGGAAAAGCCAACAGGAAACAAACGGGCCCCTTCCATCGAGGCAAGGAGCAGGCAGCGTGGGGCCGCGGATGCCGGCGCCTCCTGCCCGCTCCCGCTCCGGCCCCCGGCTTACTTGGCAAAGTTGGCGAGGTTCTGGGTGACCTTGGCAATGAGGGTCAAAGTGCGAGCAGTGCGGTCATCCGGGTACTCCTGCAGGAGGCTGAAGAGGGACGGGGACATGATGGCCGGGCACAGGAACCGCAGGAACAGGGAGGCACTGATCAGCCGCTCGCTGATGTCCGGGCGGCCGCGGTTGCTGCATTCTTGTCTCCATGAGGCAAAAACTTCTTTGAGCTCCCTTGGGAAGACGCTGAAATGACAGGAGGACATGCAGGGACGGCAGGTTCAAGGACAGGGTGCTCCAACTGCCACTCAGCAGTAACTAAACATGGTGTGTATCAGCTATGGGGTACGAGACCCAGGCCCATACAACAGTAGAGCCCTCTCACCCTGCCGATCCATAGCAGCACCACTACCCACACCAGTCACAGCCCTGTCCTTGTTTTTTGCAGTGTCCCTCAGGACACTCAAACCACACAGGACAAAGCAAAGCTGCTCCATAACGTTGCAGGAGAAGCAGCTTTCATCAGACTAATGAACAGTGTCTCGTTGTGCTGGGTGCTAAAACCCCAGACAACCGTGAAGATGGAGATATGAAACAACCTGTGCAAAGCAGCCAGTTGGCTGCGTCTCAGGGTGCTCTGAACTGGGGGAAGCTCAGCCACTAATGGGGAGAGTGTCTCCTGAAGAAACACAGCATCAGGAAAAAAAAAACCCACAGTACCAGGGTCACCAGCGCCGCTGTGCAGGGTGTAATACTCCTGTTCAAGCACATGGATCAAATCCTACTGTGACTAGTACAAATGTGGAGTCCCACTGGAGTTCTTCCAGCCTTGTAGCTGCACAGACCTCAGCCTGGCTCTCCTGGATACCAGGATTCCCCTGGGTCCAGCAGTCGGTAGCTGCAGCAGCCCTTATCGCTGGAGAACTTGCTGCCTGTTTCTGTCCAGCCCTCCCCAGTTCCCTGCTCCCACCTTATCCTGTTCCCAGCATGTGTTGTTTATTCATCTGGATACTCCCACTGCTGGGAGCAGCCTGGCAGCGGGTCCCACCGCGCTGCCCTTGGTCCCCTGGGTCCCTGGGACACAGCTCCCCACCCGCTGGAGCCTGCCCCTGCCAGCAGCTTCAGCCTCTGCTTCAAAACCAGAGCTGGTGGTACAGAAAGAGGGGTCAGACTCCATTTTAGACCATAAACCCCCTTAAAAACCAGCCATTTTGGAGGATAGTTTCCCAGTTTTGGTGCAGGGACTATCTGGGAAAAGCAGAACACTATCAGCTTGGTTCTCACTGACTGCAGAAGGGAAAACCTTGGGAGTTGCATGGCCAGAGACACCATCCACTGCCCAGCAGCAGCAAGAGCCAGCTGGGAGGCTCCAAAACACAGCACTGCCAGATCTCCAGGCCAGTACAAACGC